TAAACTTACAATGATGGGAAGAAACCAGCGTAAAAAAGCTGAGAATACTCAAAATCAGAACGCCTCTCCCTCTAAAGATGATCACAGTTCCACATCGACAATGGAACAAGGCTTGATGGAGAACGAGCGCATCCCAATGCTAGAATATCACTTCAGGGAATGGATAATAACAAACTTCGGTGAGTTAAAAGAACATGTTGCAGCCCAACGTAAAGAAACTAGGAACTTTGAAAAAAGGTTTGATGAAATCCTATTGAGAATAGACAACTTAGAGAGGAATATGAGTGAAACAGTGGAACTGAAGAATACAATACAGGAACTCCGAGAAGTTTGCACAGGTTTAAACTCGAATTGTTCAAGAAGAAGAAGGGATATCAGAGGTCAAAGTCCAAGTTAATGAAATAAAACATGAAGAAAAGATTAGAGAAAAAAGGATAAAAAGGAATGAGCAAAGTCTCCAAGAAATGTGGGACTATGTGAAAAGACCAAATCTACGTTTGATAGGTATACCTGAATGCGACGGAGAGAATGAATCCAAGCTGGAAAATACCCTTCAGGAAATTATTCAGGAAAATTTTCCTAAACTAGCAAAGCAGGTCAATATTCAACCCCAGGTAGTACAGAGAACAACACAAAGATATTCCTCAAGAAGAGCAACCCCAAGGCACATAATCGTTAGATTCATTAGGGCTGAAATGAAGGAGAAAATACTAAGGGCAGCCAGAGAGAAAGGTCAGGTTACCCACAAAGGCAAGCCTATCAGACTTACAGCAGATCTCTCGGCAGAAACTCTATAAGCCAGAAGAGAGTGGGGGCCAATATTCAACATCCTCAAAGAACAGAACCTTCAGCCCAGAATTTCATACCCAGCCAAACTAAGCTTCACAACTGAAGGAAAAATAAAATCTTTTATGAACAAGCGAGAACTCAGAGATTTTATTACCACCAGGCCTGCTTTACAAGAGCTTCTGAAAGAAGCATTACACACAGAAAGAAACAACCAGTATCAGCCCTTCTAAAAATATACCAAAAAGTAAAGAGCACCAACATAAAGAATTTACACCAATGAAAGGATAAAACAGCCAGTTAACATCAAAGGGCAGTAACCCTAAATTTAAATCAACTAAATCCCCCAATCAAAAGACACAGCCAAAACCCAATGGCATGTTACATCCAGACCTGTTTCACATGCAAGGATACACAAAGACTCAAAACAAAGGGATGGAGAAAGATTTACCAACCAAATGGAGAGCAAAAATAAATACATAAATAAATAAGCAGGATTTGCAATTCTCGTATCGGATAAAATAGATTTTAAAGCAACAAAGATATAGTGGTAAAAGGATCAATGCAACAACAAGAGCTAACGATCCTAACACCCAGATACAAAGAGACTTAGACACAATGAGACAGAAAATTAATAAGGATATCAAGGACTCGAACTCAGATCCGGAACAAGTAAACTTAATAAATATTTATAGAGCTCTCCACTTCAAATACACAAAATAAACATTCTAGTCAATACCACATCACACGTACTCACAGGTTTAAATGAAACATTGATTGGCCATTATTAATACCCATTTTTTTTTAAGAATAAAGCAGTATTTCAACTCACTCTCCCTCTTTCTCTTCCTCTTTCTTCCTCTCCTTTACTCATTTTTTTCTTCTTTCCTTCACTCAAAAAAAAAGAAATCAACTTGTAAACCTCTAGATCCAGGTCGGCAATGTCTCTCTCATTGCTTGAATTCCTTCCTTCCCTTCCCTCCCTCTCTCCCCCCTTCCTCCCTTCCTTCATCTCTCCCTTCCTCAAAAAAAAAAAAAAAAAAAGAAAGAAAGAAAACCTCACTGGTTACAGAATTTCCTCAGTAAATGTATAAGCCTCAGACCCCATCATTTCATTGTTTTACAGTACCTTAAAATTTACTCTATAGGTCACTGTTACCTTTATTTTCATCCTAACATGTGCTTATAATTGTAAAAACTTGAATGACATGTCTCTGCTCCACCACATTGATAACTATTCCATCAAAAACTAGCAAAGGCAGCTGGGCGCAGTGGCATACACCTGTAATCCCAACACTTTGGGAGGCTGTGGTGGGCAGATCCACTTGAAGTCAGGAGTTTGAAACCAGCCTGGCCAACATGGTGAAACCCCAACTCTAGTAAAAATACAAAAAATTAGCCGGGTGTGATAGCACACACCTGTAATCCCAGCTACTCATGAGGCTGAGACAAAAGAATTGCTTGAACCCAGGAGGCGGAGGCTGCAGTGAGCCAAGATTGCACCACTGCACTCCAGCCTGGGCAATACAACGAGACTCTGTCTCAAACAAAAACAAAAACAAAAACACCTACCAAAGGACAGTATAATTACTTATATATTTATAGGGAAGACTAAAAACAGAAGGGCAAGTGTAATTAACTGTTCAACTATCTTGAACAGAAGATCTATGAATATTTTGAGGAACAATAATATTTTCTTGAAATGCTTAGAAGCATAGAAGTATTTCCAAGTTATAGTACAAAAAAACTAATTCAGAAACCCATGAACAATTAGAGATCACTGAAAAGTTACAGTGTGAAAAACCTAATTCAGAAAAGCCTGTGAACAATTAAAGATCACTGGAAATCAAGCTTTTTCTTCCCCTTAGGAAGTTCATTCACACAGAGGGACTGTGAGTTTATTATCTGGTTCTGTTTCATCCTTTGCTTCAGTTGGCAGGAAGCTTGTAAGACAAATTTCTGGTTTGTTTTTAGTAATTCTGCTATATTTTGTCATGTATTAACTTTACTCTTGGTTTCCTTTACTCTTTTTTAACATTATTTATTTATTAAAAACATTTTTTTTAGAGACAAGGTCTTGCTATGTTGCCCACCTGGTCTTATTCTCCTCAGTTCAAGTGATCCTCCCGCTTCAGCCTCCTGAGTCGCTGGGACTATAGCAAAGCTACTATGCACCATCTGATTTCTTAAATGCCTTCTTATCAATTGTTATTTTGTTATATATACCTTGGTAATTGACCTCAAATGCTTTCTGGAACACAGTGGCATCTAAGTAACTGACCAAATTAATACATGAATGTACAAAAATGATAATAAACAAATTAGATAAAATGTACCCACAGATTATGCCCATTGCTCTCTCACCTGAGGTTAGCCTAGCAGGATACTTACTCTTTATATCTGAGGTTCGTAAACTGTTACCCTACAAGGGGCAGCCTGAAGGTGAACCTACTGTGCCTCCTTCACCACAACACCAGATCAGCCCCTAGGTGTATTTGGTATTCAGATTTCATTTAAAGAAGAGGTTTTGATGGCAACAAATGTGCAAACTTGTCTACACACTCCACGCTCATTACACACACATCAACTGTCAACTGATGTCATTCATTTGATTGTGTGCGGTCTTATATTTTTCTCATATTCCTAAAGCTTCATGTTAAGATATTTTCCAGGCACATCACTAAGTCCCTAGCTCTGCTGCTCTGAGACCATCTTAATAGTAAAGAGTACTTTTTGAACATTATTATAAAGTACATACTGTAACCTTGAACTTCTGGTCTCAAGTAGTCCTCCCTCCTCAGCCTCCCAAGTAGCTGGGGCAACAGCAATGTTGCCCTGGATAATTAAAAACAAAACAAAACAAAAAAAGGAAACTTTTGTGTGTGTGTGTATGGAGACAGGGTCTTGGTTTGTTGCTCAGGCTGCTCTTGAACTCCTGGCATCAAGTGATCCTCCCAGCTGGGCCTCCCAGTGTTGAAATTACAGGCATCAGCCACTGTGCCCAGCCTAGAAGTATTGTATAGGATGAAGAAAAGAGAGGTGAGATGACTATTCATCTAAGAGAGAGATGTTCTTTTTTTTTTTTTTGGAGATGGAGTTTAGCTCTGGTCGCCCAGGCTGGAGTGCAATGGCGCGATCTCAGCTCACCGCAACCTCTGTGCCCTGGGTTCAAGCAATTCTCCTGCCTCAGCCTCCCAAGTAGCTGGGACTACAGGCGCGTACCACCATGCCCAGCTAATTTTTGTATTTTTAGTAGAGACGGGGTTTCACCATGTTGACCAGGATGGTCTCAATCTCTTGACCTTGTGATCCACCCGCCTGGGCCTCCCAAAGTGCTGGGATTATAGGCATGAGCCACTGCGCCCGGCCTGAGAGAGAAATTCTTAAAAGAGGAACTATTAAGTCACTACTTCACTTTTGCCATTAGAAAGCAGACATAACTATTGTGATATATGCCTGTTTGCTGGCATCTTTCTGAAAGTGCACTAAGCCATAGAGGAGGAAAGCAGTCCCTTGGCTTCCATCTGTTGGATTCATGTGGTGTGTGTTGCACATATGGCAGAGTCATGGGCATCTTGCCAGCTGTTGAGCTTTGGGATCCATTCTGACTGCTTCTCCCAAATAAGGCAGGATGCATCCCATTTACAGGGATGCAAACATTCCATTGTCTTCTTTCATTGCTCAATACTTTCTTCCCACTGATGACATCAGTCATGTTACTGTGTTTAGTTGTGTGTACTTCTGTTAGAGTTCCTTCAGAGCCAGGCCTGTGCATTACTTATCTTTGCATCCCAAGTACCTGGCATATGCTTAGCACACAATAAAATAAAAATTAGATGGGAACTAGAATATATATGAGGTTAGATCTCATAAGTCCCCTGCTCTACCAGTTACTGTTTGTTTAGTTATTCAGTCAACAAGTATTTGAGAGCTTTCTTTTTATATGCACTGCTCATATAACTTCCAAATGGGCTGTAAGTATGAATGGGCTGTTATTCAGCAAAGAGCCAAAGCTGGTATGATTCAGCAGGAACCACCAGCCTCGTAGTGGAAAGGGCTTCTTAGGGAACATGTGCTTTCCTCTCTTCTAAAAAGTAACCTGTAGGGCCCAAAACTTTATTTCCCTCCTTTCACTCTAGGGCTAGGTAAATAGAGGTAGAAGGCACATGACATAATCAGGTCCCGCTCTCATCACACTCAACAGAATATCATACTGAGAACCAAATAATAAACTTTAATTTGAATATAATACAGCAGAATAATTATTTTGAGGTACAAAAATAATTATAAAAGATATTTTTCCCATTTACAAGTAATGTATGCTACAGATTATAAATAGTACACTAATGCTATAAACTGTCCGTATTTCACCATATGCCTAAGTCTGGGTCTTCCTCTCTCCTCTATCATCACATGTAAAAAAACCAGCTGTGCAATACTACTTTGCAATCCCGAAACTCTGTTAAGACATTTCAGAAGTAGCTATCTTTAATAAGAGAATTATATGATACCTCTCTTTATTGTTTATGTTTTTTGGCTCAATCCTATAGAAGAAACGTTTACAAATATTAGTCTAAAATTCTGCCATTTTTGGAATATCTGTTTTTTTCCCCAAAAGACAGGAAAATGTCAGGGAGAATCCAGAGTGCTGAACTCAACAAAAGCTCATTTAAAAGTAAATCTCCATCAATGGAAAAGCTTTTCAACTATAGGCAATTTGAAAATAATAGCAATTCACTGGAAGACAAATTTCACTGCCAAAACCTGCTGACAAGTTCTACCTGTCTTTTCCATTACCGTGTTTCCTAATATTTTAAGTGAGGTAAGAATTACAAAAACGATTCTAAAAGTTACAGCAGGTTCTACCCAGATCAGACCCATCTAGTTCCTAAGATGCCGAGAACCATTTATTATTTAAAAAGTAGGAAGAACATGAGGGAACAGAAGCTTTGCATATAAAAAAAGATGCAGCTTTCTTTCCTAGAATTCAGTTATTTAGGCCAGCTTATTTTTATTTGTGCTCTGAACTGATTATACATGGGTCTCGGATAAAAGATAGGAAAACTGGCCATCTTCCTGAGTAGAGGCGAAATAACCTCTTGCGACAGTCCTGAAGGCGAAGGCGATGGATCTTCAGTCATTGATCGCTTCTTGGCTGCTTTCACTCCTGCCATGTTCTCATCTCCTTTCTACACAACGCCTTTATTCATAAGTGGAGTGTTGGGATAAATGGAACAACTAATACAGTGCCTACAGGGATTCTCCTGACTTTAGTGATGGAGGAATTCTTTCTTTCAGTTCTCCTCTATCTATTTTCTTCTAGGTAGGAATGGTTCTGCACTTTCTAGACCTGTAACTCTAGGTATCTTAAACTAATAGAAAAAAACTATATAGCATAAAAACATAGGTGATATAAAACAGAAAAATGTGGGTCTGTTTTCTGGAAACAGGTTGTGAGCTTAAGGATGCTCAGTTGTATAGTAGGTTTATGTTATATGAGCTCAGAAACATGGGGCTGGGGGCTGGGTGCAGTGGCTCACACCTGTAATCCCAGCACTTTGGGAGGCCAAGGCAGGCAGATTGCCTGAGCTCAGGAGTTCAAGACCAGCCTGGGCAACATGGTGAAACCCCATCTCTACTGAAATACAAAATAATTAGCCAGGCATAGTGGTATGTACCTGTAGTCCCAGCTACTCGGGAGGCTGAGACAGGAGAATTGCAAGAACCCAGGAGGGAGGTGGAGAGTGCAGTGAGCCGAGATTTTGAAACTATACTCCAGCCTTGGTGACAGAGGGAGACTCCATCTCAAAAAAAAAAAAAAAAAAGAAAAAAAAGAAACATGGGTCTGGAATATGACTTAAGACAGACAGCCTAGCCATTAGGAGGTCCCTCAAAGGACTTTACACAATTCATGTTTTATTATCATTACGTTAATAACTGTCCACAATGCATAAAATAATCACTGTCAGGGAGAATCCAGCCCTACTTTCAAAACCGATGTTTGTTCAGCAAGACACATTAAGAAGAACCTAACCTGCTTTGTTACCTAAAATATTATGATACCAAGCTGTAATGGACTAGTGAGATTCATAAACATTGTTTCTTGAATAACTTTAGAGGTACTGTAATTTTTTTCCTAGTATTCACCTTTTTTTTTTTTTTTTTTTGAGACAGAGTTTTGCTCTTTTTACCCAGTTGCTGGAGTGCAATGGCACGATATTGGCTCACCACAACTCACCACAACCTCCGTCTCCTGGGTTCAGGCAATTCTCCTGCCTCAGCCTCCCGAGTAGTTGCACTACAGGCGCGCACCACCATGCTCAGCTAATTTTTGTATTTTTAGTAGAGACAGGCTTTCACCATGTTGACCATGATGGTCTTGATCTCTTGACCTTGTGATCCACCCGTCTCGGCCTCCCAAAGTGCTGGGATTATAGGCGTGAGACACCGCGCCTGGCTAGTACTCACCTTTTTAAAAAATTGCAATACTCATCTTACTGCACTGTAACATGTTATTATCATCAACAATTTAATTAGTGAAAGAGTAATCCTACAACTCTATCCTATAAATGACTAGACAGTTTGATAAAGGAACTTACTGCCATTCTTAGAATCACATGGCTAGGTATTCTCCCAAGATTTACAGATGTATTTATAAAACCCTTTATGAAATTCCCCAACAAAATGGGATAATGTACAGAGATGCCTGAAAGTTAAATGATAGAATGATGCTGATTCTTGCACATCAAAGACATTTGTTATTGCAGTCAGGAGACAATGCCATAAAATGCTAACAGAAAAAAAGTTATACTGCTTTCCTTAAAGTTAGTAAATTACATAAAGTACTCTGAGCATTTTTGGAAGAAAGGCACCAGACAAGCCCATAGTCTTATTGCTAGGAGGATCATACACGGTCACAGACTATGGTACTCTGCTCAGCCAGGAGACTAGGTCTCAGCAAGTCAGTCACTGACCTTGAAACTTAAAGAGCAAGGAAGGAAAATGTCAATAAAACAGAGCCCTGTATCACAGATTAACTTGAGTGAAAATAAATTATAGTTTTATGTCAAAGTGGAAGCTGGTTCCTAGGATGCTGGAGCTATCTTAGATGGGTACTCTGTTTTCTTTGGCCCATTTCTTCATGATCCGGATGATGTACTCTACTTGGGTGTTACCTGTGCTTCTCAGTAAATGGACCACTTCTCGAAGGGTCTCTCTGAGGAAAAGATTTGAAAATACAAAATGCGTCAATGAAGAATGAAAATTTAAAAATAAAATAAACTCTGAACTGTCCTTCATACTGTATGTCTTGTAGGGCATTTTTGGTAATAGACTCTTCCACTGTGTATTCATAAAGCAATTACAAACTTCCTAGTCTTATGTCCTTATGGTGGCATAGTAAAATGAAAATTATGTGAAATCTCTCTTACCAATCCAAGTGTTCCTTGTTTATCCATACTACCTACATACATTCTGATAATCTTTTGGCCCTCTCTCAGATGACCTCAATATTCCCATTCCTACTGTCACTCTGCATGACTAGAAAGGGTATATTCAGGAGTTAAGTTCAAGTTCTAGCTCTAACACTAACAAGTCACTTAGTTTGTCTAACTCATAGATTTCTACCTGGTTTAAGGTGGTAATCGTGTTCAACTAGGCATCACTGTCAAATTCATAAAATTTGACAAAGCCAGAGGAATGAGTAATTTGTTTCAAGAAAAATAATACATGAATAAATATGGAAGAGAGGGACATTAAAGACTAAGCCTAGCATTTATGTTTGATTTAAATTCAATTAAAATTAAAACGTATTTTAAGTTATGCATATAAAACCTCCCTATGCCTTAGCAAATCTATAGGCAACGGACTACGAACCCATTTGCTTAAGAGTCTTCTCATATTTTTTTACTTCTTTTTCCCCCACAAACAACCTCTTTCACTTAACCAATTGCTTTTAAACTTTTATTTAGAAGTCCTATAAGATAGGAAGTAATTTTTGATATTTTCTTTCAAAATTATCACATTTCCTATTCAAATTTAAGTAGTGTATACATTCCATGAAATTATTTTTAGAAAAAGGAATTGAGTTGTGTTTTAATGTTTGTTTCAAATGAAACTATAGGCCGGGCATGGTGGCTCACACCTGTAATCTCAGAACTTTGGGAGGCCGAGGTGGGAGAATCACCTGAGGTCGGGAGTTTGAGATCAGCCTGGCCAATATGGTGAAACCCCATCCCTACTAACAATACAAAAATTAGCCAGGCATGGTGGCATGCACCTGTAATCCCAGTGACTTGGGAGACTCAGGCAGGAGAGTCACTTGAACCCAGGAGGCAGAGGTTGCAGTGAGCTGAGATCGCACCATTGCACTCCAGCCTGGGACACAGAGCAAGACTCCATCTTAAAAAAAAAGAAAAAGAAAGTATAAGCCACTTGATTTCATGTAAACTAATGTCTCAGTATTTCCTTGAATATGAGAAGGTGAACAAAACCATAAGAGTTATTAACCACATCTACTCCATTCCTAATTCTTTGAGACTTAAACTAATGGACAGAAGAAAAAGCCAATAGGCAAAATACCAAAAACAAACAAAAAACCCAAAAGAGTAGATGAGTAAAAAACAAAACTTTGTTTATAAAAATGGCTATTCATTTGCAACCAAATATCCATCTTGCTCTTATATTTGGAGGCTGTTAGTGTACTCAATGTATACATAACTTAGATTTATCTGATTCTATTACATATGACTTAGAATCATCTGATTCTACAAAATGTTTCTGGAGGAAAATGGTCAGATAGAAATAGTTAACATCAACATTTTTTTCATCATTCTAAAACATCATTATAATTGTGTGTTTTCAGAAGACATCATCCAAGAGAAAAATTACTTTCCCTCAAAAACAAGAAAATGAGTAGAGGCAGTATTTCCTGCCTGTTTACTTACTTGGGTTCTCTCCCAGCTAAGATCATCTGGAAAATGCCCACACAGGCACCCTTTTTGCCTTTCCAATATTTGGGGTTGGGATCCAGCCTCTCGAGGACGTCAAAAGCTTTGGCAGAATAGTAAAACTGACCCATCTGAATAAGAGAAAGTATGTGCTAATACTTGCAGTAAAAAGATTGCACGGAAAGACCCTGAACATAAAGGTAACACGAAACCGAACTGTATGAAATAAGTGCATGGGTAATGACAACACTTTCAGTTAGCAAGTTTCAATTCCTAATTAAAACAATAAGAAGGAAGATCACAGTTTGGGTACACAGGCTCAGTTTAAACCACCGACGTTCACTCAGTTTTCAATAGTTTAACATTTTTTCTACATATAGTCAAGTTATACTTCAATCAGCATTTTTGCCATTTCTTCTAATTGTATTCTAATCTTGAGGAGCAACTCTGATTATTGTGATTTGAGCTGAGCATTTTTCAAGTCTCTTCAGTGTATTCTTTTTTTTCTTTTGAGACGGAGTTTCGCTCTTGTTACCCAGGCTGGAGTGCAATGGCGCGATCTTGGCTCACCGCAACCTCCGCCTCCTGGGTTCAGGCAATTCTCCTGCCTCAACCTCCTGAGTAGCTGGGATTACAGGCACGCACCACCATGCCCAGCTAATTTTTGTATTTTTAGTAGAGACGGGGTTTCACCATGTTGACCAGGATGGTCTCGATCTCTTGACCTCGTGATCCACCCGCCTTGGCCTCCCAAAGTGCTGGGATTATAGGCGTGAGCCACCATGCCCGGCCATCTTTTAAATATTTAATGCATTTTGACAGACATTTTCCCCGACCATACTACACATTTCCTTGATCTCACAGAACTGCTGAATGCCATTAAATTTTGCTTAGTTTTCTTTTATTTAAAATTTTTTTTATTCATGACTTTTTTTAGAGATACGATCTTGGTGTATTGCCCAGGCTGGAGTGCAGTGATGCCATCACGGTTCACAGCAACCTCAAATTCCTGGGCTCAAGAGATCCTCCTGCCTCGGCATTCCAAGCAGCTGGGACTACAGGTGCACAGAACCATGCCTGGCTAATTTTAAATTTTTTGTAAGACAGGCTCTCACAAGTTTACCCAGGCAGGTCTCAAACTCCTGGCCTCAAGTGATCCTCCCACTTTGGTTTCCCAAAGTGTTGAGATTACAGGCTTCAGCTACCACGCCTGGGGCCAGATGAGTTTTCTTATCTGGTAATCGTAAATGCACACTGTTATCAATTTCACTTAAGGCTTTAAATTTCTGGGCAACTCTATGGTTTAGCTACTTCTCTATTCCTGACAGATGTTTTTCTAAGTCTTTGAAAATTTCCTTAAGACAGCCTTCTTAGCTTAGCTTTATTCTGTACTTCACAGGGAAAACACAACTTTTCTCTCTTCTGTTCAAATGATATTTACACCGTCATTAAACCTTTCTTCTTTTCTGTCTAATGGGAAGAAGTTTTTAAAAATTATTTTCAAGGTTTATACTTCTGTTTATGTACTCTTTGAAAAAAAATGTCTTTATTGTGAAATAACACACATATAGAATGGTATATGAAACATCCATCTACAGCTACTAATTATAATGTGAAAATAATGTAAATACTACCCAATTCAAGACACTTGAGAGCAACACAAAAGCCATATGGTCTCCCTCTTTTCCATAGCCAGAGGTAACTACTATTCTGACTTTTATGCTCATCAGCTCTTTGATTTTCTTTATCTCTCATATATACACATCTTTAAACAATATAATTGAGTTCTGCTTCTCAGAACTTTCTATGAATGAATATTGTAAATATTCTATTATGCCTTGTACCTATGATTCAGCATTATAAGATCAATCTATATTGCTGTATATAGATCTAGTTGAGTCATTCAAAAAATTTTTTTTATTTTGCCAGGTGCAGTGGCCCACACCTGTAATCCCAGCACTTTGGGAGGCTGAGGTGGGTGGATCACCTGAGGTTGGGAGTTTGAGATCAGTGTGATCAACATGGAGAAACTCTGTCTCTACTAAAAATACAAAATTAGCTGGGCATGGTGGCACATGCCTGTAATCCCAGCTACTTGGGAGGCTGAGGCAGGAGAATCACTTGAACCCGGGAGGCAGAGGTTGTGGTGAGCCGAGATCACGCCATTGCACTCCAGACTGGGCAACAAGAGCAAAACTCCGTCTCCAAAAAAAATTTATTTTTAAGTATTAGTAATTATAGATCCATGGACAAAGATAGGTCAGAGGTCACATGTACCTTTCATCTAGTTTCCTCCAAAGGTTATAACTTACATTAACAATAGTAAAATATCTCAATATAAAAATCAGGAAATTGACACTGGTACCATGTATGCTGACGATAGTCTTGTTATTTCATCATATGTGTAGATTTATGTAACCACAACCATACAACTATCAAGATACCAAATTACTCTTTTTGTTTGGACACAAAGTCTCGCTTTGTCATCCAGGATGGAGTGCAGTAAGGCAATCACAGCTCACTGCAACCTTGAACTTCAGGGCTCAAGTGATTCTCCTGCCTCAGTCTCTCGAGTAGCTAGGACACAGGTGTGTGCCACCATGCCCAGCTACTTTTTAAAAAATGTTTTGTAGGGCTGGACGCGGTGGCTCATGCCAATAATCCCAGCACTTTGGGAGGCCGAGGCGGGTGGATCATGAGGTCAAGAGATTGAGACCATCCTGGTCAACAAGGTGAAACCCGGTCTCTACTAAAAATACAAAAATTAGCTGGGTATGGGGGTGTGCACCTGTAGTCCCAGCTACTCGGGAGGCTGAGGTAGGAGAATTGCTTGAACCCAGGAGGCAGAGGTTGCGGTGAGCCGAGATCACGCCATTGCACTCCAGTCTGGGTAACAACAGTGAAACTCCATCTCAAAAAAAAAAAATGTTTTGTAGTGTCTCACTATGTTGCCCAGGCTGGCCTTGAACTCCTGGCCTCAAGCAATCCTCCTGCCTTGGCCTCCCAAAGTGCTGGAATTGCAGACATAGGACATTGTGCCTGGCCAAGATGCAGAACTATTATGTCACCACCAAGATTTCCCTTGTTACGCTTTTACAGTCACACACACAACCCTCCCTGCTCACCATCCCTAACCTCTAATAACCTCTAATTTGTTCTCTATCTCAATAATTTTGTCATTTCAAGAATGTTATATATATGAAAGCAAACAGTAGGGGGACCCTTTGAAACTGGCTTTTTTCCTTCAGTATAATGCCCTCGTTACTCCCTGTTGATTTAAGTTACTTTGTACCAACAGCTTGCCCCCGTTATGGTCACCCTGCAACTGCAAGAGGGACTCCCAACCAAAGTTTGGTTTGGATGCCACCACACACACACAGCAAGAGGAAATGAAACATTTTCTTACAGAATTGAAGTCTTGGGAGAGTAGAATGGCCCTATTATGCAGGTCTGAAAAGGCCTGAGAGAGCAAGGAAAGAGACTGGCCTTGGTGTTTACTGTGGTTAGGAGGTGGGCCTATGTTGAAGGTTCCGGTGCCTGGTCAGGGCTTTGTGGTTTCAATCACTCTACAGGGACACAGAAGGGAGCAGGTAGGTTTTCTTACCATTTTGTCCAGATGTGGGGCACAAGGGGAAGAGAATGGGGTGAGGCTTAAAAGCAGTCAGCAGTCAAACATCAAGAAATGGAGTCAGACTTCTCATAATAGTTCCTTTTTATTACTGACTAGTATTCCATGCCAAACCAGTCTGTTTAACCATTTACCTACTGCAAGATTTTGATGTTTCCAGTTTTAGGCTATTACAAATAAAGCTCCTATTAACATTTATATATTAAAATTGCGTTACTAACATTTATATATTTCTGTGGATAGAGGTTTTCATTTATCTGGGATGAATACATAGGAATGCAATTGCTGGGTCATATGGTAAGTATGTTTATTAAAGAAACTGCCAAACTATTTCATGGTGGGTTTTTTTTTTTAATCCTTTTATTTTTGACCTATGTATATCAATATTTTTAAAGTGAATTTACTGCTGAGAACACATAATTGGTTTTTTAAAATCTACTCTGTCAATAGATGTCTTGTAATTGGCATACTTAGACCATTTACATTTAATTATTGACATATTAGGGCTCAATTCTGCCATTTCCCCCCTTATTCTCTCTGTTTTTCTTTGACAAGGATATCACATATATGTTGGATAAAGACATGGCCATGTGATCCCCACAGAGGGAAAATAAGAAAACCTATATTTGACTTTTCTAGCCTTCACCTACACCTCTTTTTCCTGCTGTTCCTGTAGCGTGACGAATTGTAGCCATGAGTCTAACTTGAGTTACATGAGTCCCTCTAGAAAATCACCAAGCTTGTGAGTGGTCATGGGACCACTGAGACACCCGGTAAGTCTAACTTGTTTTTCAAGTAGTTATCTTCCTTTGATGTCAACCCTGTTCCCCTTTCATCTTCTCTAGGGCCTTACTCCATCAAAAATGCCCCATTCTTCTGAATCTTTAATCTTCCTGTTCAATGGCTCATTTTCTTCTGCTGACAGGCATACTCCCCTACCCCCATTCTAAAACTCTACACCCCATCCCCAATCCCAAACTCTGTTTTTCCATTTAAGTTGGCATTATATTTTTTCTCCTTATCTTCAATATCAACATTTTTAATACTGTGGTCTACATTACACTCACTGCATCTGCTTTTTAATCAGACTCTATTCTCTGCCTACTACTGTCAGTCCTCATGCCTTTCAATCCGGATGCAGATTTGACACTGCCTTGGCTTTTGACTAAATAGGAGCAAGAAAAAGTCATGAAAAGCATTTTTTCCCTCTGTCCTCATTGTTTTCTTTCTCTTCTGTTCATCCTCTCGTTCATTTACTCTTCTCTTCCGCAAGGCTCCTCACCCTGTTTACTGGGTCATCCTATTCTCTCTCATACTTTGCTGTTGCTGCTGCTGTTACTACCACCGCTACTACTATTGCTATTACCACCATTAATACTGTTAACTTCTAAATCTACATTGTGAACTCCTGTGAACTGTTAAAAATCTGCATTGCTAATTGCAATGAATACCAAAGCTCCAAGCACAGCCCGTTCATTTCCTACTTGTATTATCTCTGCTGGG